TAGGTTCCATAGGGAGTATAACAAGCATGCTTTACTGCATATACAGACTAATTTTACTGTTGTGGGTTTAGTAATACACTTTAACAATGGATTTTTGGCCATACTTCCAAAGTAAAATGACACTAAACTATATCCTTATTCTCCAAAAATAATCCAAACATTTCCACTACTTCAAGGCCCTGTTATCTATTTTTCAGGAAATATTTTCTCACTGCGTTTTTCTGCCTCTTTGTAACATCCTTTGTGAGCTCCTGAAACTCCTTTTCCCTCCCCACTTTTGTCTAATCTCATATTTCATAGTTTCTAGTTCATCTCAGGCATGAGCAAGAGAAGCTGGGCTACACTATGTTCCTACATACAGAAGGACCATGGGAGAACAAACATAGCCACCCCTCAAACAGGAGATCAGATCATACCAGCCAAAAGAAAGGGAATTTGGAGGAGGCTGAGAATTAGCCCATTCGAAGATAAATACATAAACCAACTTTTGCTGCAATATTCACCATCAATCCAGAGATTTACACCAAAGTACCGTATTTTTCGCACCATAAGACGCACTTTTTTTCCCCCCCAAAAAGGGGGGAAAATGTCAGTGCGTCTTATGGAGCGAATATAAAACGGCCGGTCCGGTATTTTTGCGGCCACCATGTCAGAATACCGGGCTGGGCCGCTCAGCTGTTGTCTCCTGCAGGGCCTTACCTGTTCCTCGCTCCAGCGCTGCACAGTCTTCCCGCGCTGGCTTCTGTGACAGCCGGGTGCCCACTGCGCATGTGCTGCGCTTTGTGAATGATCCGGTGTCTTCTGGGACACATGAAAGGTCCCAGAAGGCGCCGGCCCATTCACAAAGCGAAGCGCTTCTCGCACCTGCGCAGTGGGCTCCCGGCTGTCACAGAAGCCGGCCCGGGAAGAAGAGGGAAGGCAACTCCGCGGAAGTGGGAGCGGGTACCTGTCAAATTCAGGTACCCGCTCCCCCTCCCTCCCCAAAGGTCAGCAGTCTCTGGTCATCCCCTGCACTGTCTGCAGTCTCTGGTCATCCCCTGCACTGTCTGCAGTCTCTGGTCATCCCCTGCACTGTCTGCAGTCTCTGGTCATCCTGCTAAACTGTCTGCAGTCTCTGGTCATCCCCTGCACTGTCTGCAGTCTCTGGCACTTCATCCCCTGCACTGTCTGCAGTCTCTGGTCATCCCCTGCACTGTCTGCAGTCTCTGGTCATCCCCTGCACTGTCTGCAGTCTCTGGTCATCCCCTGCACTGTCTGCAGTCTCTGGTCATCCCCTGCACTGTCTGCAGTCTCTGGTCATCCCCTGCACTGTCTGCAGTCTCTGGTCATCCCCTGCACTGTCTGCAGTCTCTGGTCATCCCCTGCACTGTCTGCAGTCTCTGGTCATCCCCTGCACTGTCTGCAGTCTCTGGTCATCCCCTGCACTGTCTGCAGTCTCTGGTCATCCCCTGCACTGTCTGCAGTCTCTGGTCATCCCCCTGCACTGTCTGCAGTCTCTGGTCATCCCCTGCACTGTCTGCAGTCTCTGGTCATCCCCTGCACTGTCTGCAGTCTCTGGTCATCCCCTGCACTGTCTGCAGTCTCTGGTCATCCCCTGCACTGTCTGCAGTCTCTGGTCATCCCCTGCACTGTGTCCAAGTCTCTGGTCATCTCCTGCACTGTGTCCACAGTCTCTGGTCATCTCCTGTACTGTTTCTGGAGTCTCTGGTCATCTCCTATACTATTTCGCAGTCTCTTGTCATCCCCTGTACTTTGTCCGCAGTCTCTTGTCATCCCCTGTACTTGTCCGCAGTCTCTTGGTCATCCCCTGTACTATGTCCGCAGTCTCTGGTCATCCCCTGTACTGTGTCCGCAGTCTCCGGTCATGCGACCCCTGTACTGTGTCCGCAGTCTCCGGTCATCCCCTGTACTGTGTCCGCAGTCTCCGGTCATCCCCTGTACTGTGTCCGCAGTCTCCGGTCATCCCCTGTACTGTGTCCGCAGTCTCCGGTCATCCCCTGTACTGTGTCCCGCAGTCTCCGGTCATCCCCTGTACTGTGTCCGCAGTCTCCGGTCATACCCCTGTACTGTGTCCGCAATTTACTGGTCAGTCTCCTGATCTCTGTACTGTGTCCGCAGTCTCTGGTCATCCCCTGTACTGTGTCTGCAGTCCATTGGTTCAGAATATTTTTTTTCTCTTGTTTTTTCACCTCTAAAACCTAGGTGCGTCTTATGGAGCGAAAAATACGGTACTTTTTTCTGCTGCTAGGTGCCCTGATGGCTATCATTATTCAACCCACTTCCCTGAGCCCAGGTCATCCTGGATTCTGCCCCCCCCCCCAGCTTCTGACTTGACAGTTTTATAGAAACAGCTTAGTGGTTAGCTCTTCTTTCTGCCACTCTGCTTTATCCTCCTATCAGCATGCATCTTGTCAGCACATGATTTGACTGGCTTCTTGTACTGCTGCTTCCTTCACACTTCAGCCAGTGTTGACAGGGACTGCAATAGGCTGCTACAGGTACATACACTGTTTGCATTTGAAAAAATACATAACATGTAAATGACCGATGAGCTGCAATAATTGGTATCTTTTTGCTTTAACTGCACTGCAAGGGAAGTTTGCATAAATCCATCCCCTGACTTGTGCTTATTCAATCACCCATTCATGCTGTTGCTTGAAGTGTTCTTTTGTTTTGTATTTTTTTCATTGTAAAGAATTTAAATTAATTTGCAAAGATCTGTTTTGACATTTAAGGATAGATTTATGTAGATCCCTGTCAAAACAATACAATTAATGTCAAGGTGATTCTATGGACAAGCATTGAACTTTCAAGGGAGTGAACTTTTACAGGCACTTTACTTAACGAAAGATTTCACAAAGCTCAAGGTTAACAAATCTTAGTTGTTCCATTTACAGTTAATAAAATGTGGGTGGGTAGAATTAACCTTTTTGTTAATAACATCTGCCCCGGGATCACATAAGCTGGTGTCAGTAACCATCTTTAGAATATTTTAATAAGACTTGGAATATTACTATATTTGTCAAACAAAAAGCAACCCTTGTATTTACATGATATAATCAATACTGCTTTTTGTGCTTTTGAGGAGTTGCTTGAGCCAGAAAATGCAATCCATAAATGAACATCAAGGTGATTATACTATTCCATTAGCGGTCAATATTAATGTCAGGTTAGATACTGGAGAGGGATAGGGAAACAAGAGAAACCGGGCAAAAGGGCAAAAGGGAGTAAGATCTATTTCAACAATAGACAGTAGAAGTGGCTCTACCCTTCCACATAAGTATCCTATTTTAATTCAAAGTTTGTGCACAGATAATACATTTGGGAAGTGGTGAGGGCAGATGCACGATAAATGTCAGGGTGATTTAGCCCCTAAATATTTGGACAGTGCAAAATGAATACATTTTAACAGAAATCTGTCACCCTAAATACTACCATCCATTTTAATTAGTAAAATCTTATAGACAGTGTGATCCATTCTCCAGTACTCAGCAGAATAAACACTGTATGCAGGACTTAGGCCAACTTTTATTGCCCATCTACATAAGACCTTGTGTAAACATATGGGGGAAATGCAATTTATTTCTTTTATAGCACAAATGAATAAAAAATATGACTTTACATGATTTTAGCAGTACCTATTTTCTGTTTATACAGGTTTAAAAAGCAAATGCAACAACAGTTAAAAGATATGAAGACTGGCCTCATAACACGTTAGTATTCTGTTTTCTTTTAAGTGGTTTTGCTTGTAGTATATGTACCCTTTGGATACTAAAGTGCCTTGGTAAAATAGAATTATTCCCTTAATATTTGTATACTGTACTACTTTAGAAGAAAATAGCTAAACCTTGGAATTCATATAGCTATGCCCTTGTTTACTTTTTTTAGTCAGTTGCCATAAGAACTGTTCATGTTCCAGGGGCCTGGACGTAAGGTTGCCACCAATCCTAGAAAAAATACCAGTCACTATTAGTGTGGCTAGTTCTATGTCTGGCCTTGGCAGAATCTGAACAATGCATGCAATATCACAGTAAGAACTCTACAAGTAGGTAACAGCCTTCAGTCATTGTTAAATATCCTTACCCCTCCTGGTTGTCGACACACAGAAATCAGCAGAAAAGCTAGATTATATTTCTAGATTCCAGCAACCCACCAGTTTTGAGTGGAATGTGTCTGCTGGGAATCCTGATTTACTGGAAGAGACACTTGGAGTAAAAAAAAAAAAAAAAAAACACTTTATCTCCTCTGTCAGTAGAGCCTGCCAAGGCCCAGTTTCTCAGCTGATTTATCTATCCTTGGTTTGGGCTGCAATTTAAAATTTGAACTTAGGAGTCCATTTGGAAAGCACCAGTATAGCCATACTGCTGCTATTAAAAAAAAAAAAAAATATTACATAGCACAACAGTGTGCTTTACAAGTGTGTCTTTGAATCTACGGATTTTTATTTTGATGGAGGGGGGGGGGGGTGGCCAGGAAGAGGAATATTACCAAAATGCCTGGAAAGTATGGCCATAGAACACATTACTGAATTTTTTTTTTTTTTAACAACTCTTTAAGCTTTAGTAAAGCAGCATTTTCAACTAGCTCTGGGAACTCTTCATGTCACAACCTTACCTATGTAGTCTCGTCTGCTCCCTATCATGTTCTATCCCCCATTGTGTGTTTGTGCAGTCAATCATAAAAGGTTTTTTTTACCATAAGCCTACAGGGCACATATATCCTCTTCCTGCCCAGGCCAATTTCCAGCTTTCAGTGCTGTCACACTTTGAATGACAATTGCGCGGTCATGCAACACTGTACCCATATGAAATTTTTTTATCATTTTTTTGGTGACAGAGCTTTATTTTGGTGGTATTTAATCAACTCTGGGTTTTTTTATTTTTTCTTAAACAAACCAAAAACCACTGCAAATTTTGAAGAAAAAAGTTTTTTTCTTAGTTTTGTTATAAAATTTTGTAAATAAGTGATTTTTCTCCATCACTGATGTGCACTAATGAGGCTGCAGTGATGGGCACTGATTGGCTGCACTGATGGACACTGATAGGTGGCACTGATGGGCATTGACAGGCATCACTGATGGGCACTGAAAGGCAGCACTGATATATGGCACTGATGGCACTGATAGGCGGCACTGATTTGCAGCACAGTCATAGGTGGCACTGATTGGCATTGATGGATGACACTGAAAGGCAGCTCTGATGGGCACTGATATGTGGCATTGATGGGCACTGGTAGGCACTGATATGTGGCATTGATGTGGCACTGATGGGCACTGGCACTGATGAGCACTGACACAAGGCACTGATGGACACTGACAGGTGGCACTGCTGGGGCTACACGGATCATCAGGGCACACTGATCATCAGTGTCCTGATGATCAGTGTACATGTCCCCTCCGCTGAATGCCGATTACCGACTCTCCTCTCGAGCTGTCGGCGTGACAGCTCGAGAGGAGAGAATTGCCGATAACCGGCATTTCCCTGTTTACGTGTGATCAGCTGTGATTGGACACAGCTGATCACATGACCGAGCCAACATCTTTGGCTCTTTCCGTGGATCGGTGATCCGCTGTGTCCGAGGGACACAGCGCACCGCTGCTTGCCGCACTGTGCGCTCCCAGAGCCGTGCATGTGCGGGGAGAATGGGAGGACGTCATATGATGTCCTCCCAGGACGAGAGAACCACCTTGCGTCTGTCATATTACTATATGTCGGGCGGGAGGTGGTTAAAGGGGGTTGTGGGGTTGTGGACAGGAATATTTAATATGTCTATATATCATTTAAAACCTTGGTCAAATGCTATAGCACTCACCACCAATTTCATGCTTGTAAAAGGCTCAGCTACTTCTATTACTCAGACGTGTTGCGGACCCATTGCAAGCAGGTCTGCAACCCAATTTGGGTCCCAACCAATAGCTTAATAAACACAGCTCTAAGGTCCAAACAGTCTTTTACATTCTTCTGTGGCAGCCTGTATACCCCGTATGGATTCAATAAGATTTGAGTCAAATGCAGTACTTGGAGTGGGGACAAAGATTCCTCCATTATTTCTCCTTCTCTTTTAAGAGGAAGGATATGGCTGCTGAAAGGGCCTCTATCTTTCCAGTGACTTATATATTTTATGTGCTAAACCTGGTCTTTATTCTAATTTGTCAGCCCTGAAAATCATGCAATTTATTTCTCCTACTTTTTCAGTTACCTAATAAATCGATAAATCATTTGAAAAATTCATCTGAGGGTGCTACACAGAAGTCAATAGTTCACATAACATTTTCATAGCCCTAAACCTAAAGGGCATTCCTTGATCAATTACAATTTTACATGTTATGAAGAAACTCTTTCCCTACAGTTTGGTAGGAGATATTTCTTAAAGGGAGCAACTCATCCATACCCATAAAGTGGGCTGTTGCCAACTTTACCACAGGTTCTTTTTAGGTCCATTGCTATTAGTTCATAAAGTATTTTGATTACTGGCATTGGGACCCAACATTCCATGTTAATGGTCTCTAGGGCCTGATATCTGGCACTTCACAGATCCACATAAATCTTTAACCAAAAGAATCAATGGAGAATAGGTGCTTTATGCAACCCAGGTGACCTCCCTGACAACCAGAACCATGCTGAAATGCAATGTACTCCAATCTGGCACTGATTCAGTATATCTGAATCCACCAGACTAAATTCCAGAGTCCAACAGGACTTGGAACACTTTTATTGCCCACTTTTATCATAGACATAGGGAACATGTGCTACATACCAGATGAGCAAAGAAAGACATCTATCTAGAAATGTCACATTTCATGCTTTCAAGGAGTCCATACTGAATGCATATGTCTGTCTTCATGATGTCTGCAGGGTCAATTGGGTTGAAGGCTTAGTGGAAAGGAACACCACTGAAACCGTTTTTGTCCACTGGATCCACATGGTAAAAATGATGAGGCAGTGGTGCATCATCTTACAGGTTGTTTTTTTTTTTTTTTTTTTTTTTTTTTTTTTGTCTTGTCAAAGCTTAGTTGAACAAGCTGAAATTAGAAGCTGATTGGCACCATGCACAGCTGCACCAGAGTTTGCACTCTCCAGGTTTAGTAAAGCAATCCTAATGAGTTTTGTGTAAAAAAAAAAAAAAAAATCTTATACATTTAGAAAGCACATTGAGCGATAGCTTACACACGGTATACACGTACAATTTATTCTCAGCATTTTATTTTTCTTCCCACAGAGTTGAAATAACTTCCACTACTAAATAACAAAAATATGTAAAAGCGAATACATAGAGAAAAAGCAAAAATGAGTTGCATTTACCCATAAGAAAGATTGCAATTTTTATATAATTACTTAGACCCTGAGAGGTCTAGGAACCTAACATGTAGAAATGTCCACCAGGCTTCTTTTTTGTATAATGGCCTTTCTTGATTCTTGCAGTTTACCTATTGTGGACATTGGGCATGCAGCTTCATCAAAGATCACAGGCCTCCTCTCACAGCATTTGCCAGCAATTCTTGGCTGTCAAAACTTACTACCTGGGAGTTGCTGTGTTGCTTCTAAGTGGACCAATACTTTTTAACATATTTATAAATGATATAGTATCTAGGAATAAAAGTTCTATTTCAGTATTTGCAGATGATACTAAGCTACACAGCGGAATTGTATCCCTACAGGAAGTCTCCAACCTACAAATCAACCTCAACACACTATTGAATTTGGCAACTATGTGGCAAATGAGGTTTAATGTTCATCAATGTGAAGTTATGCACTTAGGGCTAAAAACATGCTTGCATCATACGTACTAGAAGGAGAACAGCTGGGGCAGTCAGTGGTGGAGGATCTAGCTGTTCTAGTAGATCTACCTAATAACAGTGGCGTCCCGAGGCAGGTGCGGGGGGTGTATTCCACACCGGGTGACACCGACCACACGGGGTAACACCGGACCCGCTCCACAAAAAGCTATGTTGTAAAGAAAGCCGACGATCCCCACAGGATGCATAGGATCTGCAGATTGAGCATAGTCTGGTCCATTATGCTCAATCCGCAGATCCAATCCATTCTGCAGGGATCGTTGGAGGGGGTGTCAACAAGTGTTACTGCACCGGGTGACACCTACCCTAGGGACGCCTCTGCCTAATAATAGCATGCAATGCCAAGCTGCATTTTCTAAAGCTAGCAAGATACTTTCTTGTATGAAAATGGACTCTTGTGAGAGAGACATAGTTTTTTCCATGTACAGATCATTATTAAAGTGTATGTAAACTTTAACCTTGTAAAATAACCTATTCAGTTAAAAAGATAAGTTCACCTTAGGGAACATGTTCCTACTCCTGCAGCCTCTCCGTGATCTGCTGCCCCCCAGTGACAGCAAGCCGGGGATCTTCTCTCTGCACTCATTATCACCATTTAAAAAAAAAAAAAAAAAGTGTTCTGTCAATGGAAGAACTTTAACTACCATCAGCCTTTGTGGCTGATGGCTTGTAACTACAATGCAAGCCAACCCTAGTGTCCCTGATCACTGCCCCAGGATTATCCATAATTAAAAATGCAGCCAGCCCCTGTCACTTGTCCCAGTGCTCACAAAAAACACCCCAAAAATGGAACAGAATACATTTTAGCCTAAATTTATGAAGAAAGATTATTTGCAAAGTTTTATAACTAAGCAAAACATGTTTTTTTTTCCCCAAAATTTTTTGGTATATTTTCCATTTTTATAGCGAAAAATAAAAAAAAAACAGTGGTGATCTAATACCACCAAAAGAAAGCTCTATTTGTGTGAAAAAAAAAATGATAAAGGTTTCATTTGGGTACAGTGTTGCATGACCGCGCAATTGTCCTTTTAAGTGTGACAGTGCTGCAAATGTAAAAAAGTTTGAAAAAGTGTGAAAGCTGAAGATTGGCCTGGACTGGAAGGAGGTGAAAGCGTGCAGACTTGAAGTGGTTAAAATAGAAATTAAATGAAGGGCAAAACATTTGTAGATGTATAAAAAAAATTCTAAATATCTTTTTTCCCTTTTTTTTTTTTTTTTTTTTTTTTTTTTTTGCAAGTGACCACATTCCCTTTGTTCTCATTGTTCTCTGTCGCATAAGAGCTGGGGGAAGAGAATTACTGATCTTCCCAATGAATGGCTGTATGGGGGGGAGGCAGGAAAAGTCTGACCATTGGAGGAGAGCGCACTGAGTTCCCAGTATAGCTAGGAAAGCAGAGGGACTGATAGGAACGCCAGGGATTTTACACAAGAAGAAATAAACAAAGAACAGGATACTTTTTCATATAAGTACATGGTACAGCAGGCACATCTCAGAAATATGAAATGTTGTGTTTACATATTCTTTACGACCTCTTCTGGAATATGCAGTTCAGTTTTGGGCACCTGTTCACAAAAAGGATGAGAGTGCAGAGAAGGGCAACCAAATTGATAAGAGGCATGGAGGAGCTCAACAATAAGGAAAGATTGTGTGATGAACTGAATTTTCTTAAGAAGAGGGGAGGGTATGATCAACGTGTACAAATACAACATACATACTGGGCTGCTGCTAGACTATTTGGCTCCCTAGGCAAGACCAGCTATTTGCGCCCCCCCCAAAAAGAAATATTAATTTTAAAAAACAGTAGAAAATGTTAAGTTAACAAAATATGAAACTGGTAAATTTCTTTTAATTAAAAAATAAGTGCCATAAGATGACACCAGCACCAACAGATCCCAGGCTGGAATTCCCCAGGCAATAGGGGGAGATAAAACTCAGATAGATCAGCAGGCCCAACGGGCTCTAGAAGAGCAGGCTGTGGGATTGTGATGATGGCTGGCAGGCTGGGTCACACTTACAGACACGAGACATCAGAGTTAGACATTACATTCCTCCATGGGCGCAGCTTCGTCTCCACTGATGAATGGGAACAGAAGAGCTGGAACTGAACAGTGATCAGCAGCCACCAGTAGGGACTGATTCTGAGAGGAGCACTGGAAGGAGCTGCAGCTCAGCTGCTACACTGGCCCCAGAAACCCAGCATCTTCCTCTGTCCTTTCTTCCTCCCCTCTGCCACCCCTCCCCTCAGCTGAAGGATCATTCATGATGTGGCAGCATCCCACACAGAGAGAGTGCCGAACTGTGCTGTGGCCCTAGGTGGCACTGCACCCTAGGCAGCCACCTAGTTTGCCTAGTGGAAGCACTGGCCCTGCGTACATAAGTGGTCCATACAGTGAACTTTGTGTAGAGTTATTCACTTATTACAGAGGACAAGGAGGTACTCTTTACATCTGGAGGACAAAATATTTAACCTTCACATATGGAAAGGCTGTTTCACAGTAAATATGAAAAATATGGAATAGACTCCCTCAAGAACTAG